AATTTGGAACGTAGTCGTTGACTCGTAGTCGTAGTCGCTGTCGTAGTCGTCGTCGTCGTCGTGGTCGTGGTCGTAGTCGTCGCAGTAGTAGCAGTAGTAGTAGTAGTAGTAGTAGTAGTAGTAGTAGTAGTACAGTAATAGTACAGTGGTAGTACAGTAACAGGGCTGGCTATCTCTCCTCTCTGTGTCTCCCTTACGTTGCCTGTCTCTGTCTCCTCTTCCTGCAGTTTGTCGTAGCAGTGTCTCTTTCCCTTGACTTTAAAAGAAACGGGTGGGAATTTACGACTATTGAGGGGGGTTTATCATGTCCACTATTGCGTGCAGGGCCAAGTTTAGGTTTCTTGTGGGGGCCTTCCACTATTGCGTGCAGGGCCGAGTTTAGCTCTATTGAGGGAACCTTTTTCAATCACGAGGTCACACTATAGACGAAAATGTAAGCATAGACATTACACAAAACTGCTATTCTTTGCAATACTATAACTTATAGTATTGCAAAGAATAACGGAATTATCCGATGATAAACGACAACCCTAGTACTTCTCCCAATGTGCTCCTGAGCTCTGCCAGCGTCCCTGTGATCTTTGACAGGGCGGAACCGATGATCACCACGGTCGAGCCTCCCAGAGGGTACGGTAGCGGCTTGGGGTTTAGGGTTTAGGGCTTGAGGGTTTGGCTCGGGATCTCCAGCTGGGCAGCTTAGTGGGGTCAATGGTCTTCCTCTACTAAACCGCTTAACCCCCAAACCCAAAGTCCTAATCGATCCCAAAGATAGCCCGATCTCTGCCGCCGTGCCGTCAGGAGCCGAGGCACCCACAATGAAAATGCAGTATAGGCCTCAGCCAGCAAGGCGACGGCAGCAGATTATATGATTATATAATCTGTAACCGAGTAACCCACCATTTAGGTAACTGGAGCCTAGGGTAATCCCATCCCATAGAACCATCGCGAAATGAGATCCATCTCTAAACCCTAAACATCCAAACCTTAAACCCCAAACCCCCAAACACCATAATAATCCCAAAGTGCATGCACGTTTTGAAGTCTGCAGAGCTAAACTCTTTCGCCACCGGTCCTCTGTCAGCGCCTTGAGATGGATTGAACAAACTCCACAAAAATAAGGGGGGCATAGGCTGTTGAACACATAGGTTCTAGGTTGAACAAAAACAAGGTGTGTAAGGATATAGCAGTCAAGCAATGTAAGGAATGAAAGGAGGTGCAGCTGTATTCGTTTGATTCTTCAGACGCCTAGATGTCATGCAGGTTGTCCCCAAGTATCTCCTGCTCACGACCCTCTGCTCGTTGAGATGCCTGGATTTCAAGCTGTATAGTTCAAAGTGCCTGTTCACTACAGCCACGTCCAACACCAAACCCCAAGGCCTAAAACGAAATCCTGAACCTTGCACTGAACCACAATCCGAGACCCCAAACCTCAAGCCCACACGCGAAACGGAACGTCATCTCCATGAAACCCGTAACCCTAAACCCCTGAACCTGAATCCTAAGCCCCTTTAAGCCTTCAGGTCGGGTCGCGCTCTGCCACGTTGTCATTGGACACCGGGGGGGGAGAGGGAGGCATCAGGACCCACTGCATCGCATGCACATACTGAATCGGTCCTGATGTTGCAGGGACTATGGGGGTTAGTCGTGTTTAAACTTTTTCGGGATGCTAATGGCTTTTGGGATTTCTTCTAAGGTATAGGATAGAACATCTATTTTTGGCTTTCGGGCTCGGAATAGGTGTTCCCAGCGTAAGGTATAGGTATTAACAGCCTAGGCAGCTCGTGCACACGCTCTTCGAATAGCTGTACGATTTTTTGTGGACCAGGCGCACAGCATCGAGGGTTGAAGGCTACAGACAAGCCAAAAAGAGCATGGCCTCCGTAGCAATCATCATAGCAATACTTGACTGAGTTCTTAACCCCCAAACCGATGCCCAGACACGAATTCTGCATCCACACGAAATCTGAAGACAACCCTAGGTGCGCAAACCCCAAGCCTAAACCCAGGGTCTGCCTAAACTTGAAACTGTTGGGAGCTCATGCTTTCCTTTAGAAACCTCAGAGACGGGAGGCCGCTTTTGAGGGCTTAAGCTTTAGATTCTGGGCTTTAGGGCTTAAATCCAAGTCGCACTATGCCACCAAATGTTGCCCTAAGGCGAACAAACAGACCCGTGATTGAAGTTTGGATGTCAATCGAATCGGAAGTTGGGAGCCACGCTCCCCGGTCTCCGATATCGTGGAATACCTAGCAGTCTATGTGGGATAGACAGATCGACAGATAGATAGACAGGTAGATAGACAAACAGAAAGACAGGTGCAGGCCACTTTCGCCACGAGCAGCTAGGTAGCTAGCTAGCTAGCTAGCTGGGTAGATAGATAGCTAGATAGACAGACAGTTGCCTAGACAAGCAGACAGACAGACAGGTACACAGATAGACGCTCATACACAGACACAGAGAGAGAGAGAGACAACACACACACACAAATGCTTGCCTGGACCCAGAGCATTCGCCAAGTCTCCGTCGAGCTCAGTGATATTACCCAGCTCCAGCCAAGACGTCTGATCGAAGCTGTCCCTGTCATCCGATGATACGACGGACTAGGGCAGTTGAGGGCTTAGGGTTTGGCTGCTTCGGGGTTGGTTTGCAGGGCTAGACAGGCTAGACTAGGGTTGAGAGAGTATGAATAAATCATAGATAAGGCTAGTAGCCATGACCATCTCGCGGCGTAGCCCTTACCGTAGAATGCGCAGCCCAAGACCAGAACTGAGACGGAGGTCCGAAGCAAGAGAGTGCAGACTGGATAAAACGAACCAACTTTGGATTTGGGGATCAAGACAGTCTCCGGGGTTACAGACGCGATACCCTAGCAGAGCAAGCAGTCAGCCGAGAGCATCGACACTGAACGTCCCTAAACCCTAATTCTCAGCCCTACACCCGAAACCCTAATCTGCTCCCTCCCTTCCCTCTGTGGGAGTCGGAAGATGTCAGGGCGCTGGGCTTAGGATTCTGGATTGAAAGTTGAGGGCTCAGGATTTGAGGTTTAGGGTAGTAAGGGTTTAGGGCTCTGGGTTTATTCTTTGGGCTTTCTGGCGTTTGAGGATTTAGGGCTCGAGGGGCTTACTCTAACGAGTTTAGGGGTTTGGGGCCTTAAGTCTGAGGCATAAGGGTTTAGAATTTACAGGCTTTTAGCCTGAAAATGTAGACTGCTGGCTTTAGGGTGCAACGTTCGCTAAACTCTAGACTGTGGACTTGAAATTACCTACCTTGCTAGGGTTCCTCTTCTGACTTCCTGAGATAAGTCCTTGGAGAGGTGGGTCATCTCGGGTCCGGGTAACCCCCAAACCCTCAGTACGATGTCGTGATCCGAGGGCCCGCCTTCCCAGTAGGTACCATCCGCAAGCGAGGACATGGGCACAGAGCACCATCGTCAAAGTAGTATTGACCTGGTGGGCGGAGCCCGTTGTTGCTTATTTTTTGTGTCTGGAGGGGGGAGGTTTTGGTTTTTTTTGTTTATAGGGTTTGGGGGGAGGCGGGACTTTCACAACTGTGAAGTTGGAGAATTTGAGAATGCGACAGCAAGCTGGTGAGAATGGACAGAACGTCGAAGCTGCTGCACTGCTGCTGTTGTTCCGAATGGTTCATGATGAATGACTATGATGGTGACGGGAAGAAGGTGCATCTGCCGCGATCATTAGAAAACGAAGAAGGGCTTCAGCATTTGGGCCCTGAGCCCCGCCCAAAGCCAAATCAATACCAAAGGGGCCGAGGTACTGCTGTGGGGGGGGGGGGGGGGGGGGNNAGACTACATTCTACTATATAGGTACTTCGGACACTTTGGGAATCAAGCTGCAATGGCCACGACCAAAACCAGCCATTGTCGGCCCGCTGCAACAGAAGCTTCCTCGATGACAACGCCTAAGTTGACACGCCGGGGCAGGAGAGGAGGGTAGATAGGCAGTGTAGGGTTTAGGGTTTAGGGCTTAGGGAGTGGAGGAGCATGGCTTACTGTTGTACGGGGACAACAGGCGGTGATTGAACCTCCGCTGTTTCTGGAGACTTGTTGAAAGGAGCCGCGAAGAGAGGGTCTCCGAACGGATTAACACGCTTGAAGGCAGTTAAGAATGCATTGAATACATGGTCCTGAAAACTACCGGCAACATCCACGATGTCAGGATAGGGATAGCTGCACGTGCTGAAAACTCTAGCCCTAAACCCAGTACATGCGAAAGCTCCCAGAGCACAAAGCTCTAAACCCGGAACCCGCCAGTCCTCGTAGAGGCGACCCTTTTTCGGTTACCTCAGTTTGTTCCTAACCCGGAAAGTCTAAGTATTGTCATTGCGTCCGTGCAGCTGAGTCTACTCATCTTCAGCAGCCTGGCAACTCCGACACTGGCACAAAGATTCATTGTTATTCGGTCGACTGTAGCTGGAAGCCCCAAGCACTAAACACCATATCCTCATTGAAGTCTGTTCGTAATCGCGATCTCTAAGATTTCAGCACGGCTAAGGAGCACGGTTGTGCAGTCGTTCGGCGTGACACGACTAGAACGACTCAAGTCGTGGACCTGCAAGGGTTTGTCGAGTGGCATAATCTGGGACGATCGTGGTGCGGTGAGGTTTTGGGTTTCGGGCTCGAAGATTTAGGGTTTAGGGTGATCAGCAATCAAGACTTAAGGGTCTAGGGCCCAGTGTTGAAGTTTTCAGGGTTTGAAGTTTATGGGGTCTCCGGGTATCAGTCCACTGGGCTGGGCCTTTGGAATCCAACATCTTTCGACTTTTGGGGGTTCTGGTTTCGGAACCGATCGGGTTTCGAGTCACCCTATAAGTAAACCATTGAACACTGGCGTACACTACAAAAATAGAACAGGAATTCTTGATACACATATATATATATAGAGATACACACACATATATATATATATGTGTGTGTGTGTGTGTGTACGTATGTGTATATGTGTGTGTTTCATGTGTGTATATATATATATATACGCATCAGGGATGCCCCTAACAGCGTTTTCACCTGTAGCAGCTCCCACAGCCTTCCAGCACAAACTCCCAAAACTACCGACGTCCCAGACGACTCTCCCTCGGGCCGGGGGTTTGCGGCTGTAGGGGTTGTGGGTTTAGGGCTTCAGGGCTTTAAGGTTTTTGGGTTTGGGGCCCGGGGCTTAGGGTTTAGGGGGTGAGAAATAGCAACCAGGTTTGCAAGCTTCCGGGTTAGAGCGGATGAGGGTAGTGGGAATGACTTCGAGTTCTCAAGGCCTCGACATTCGAAGGCTTATCCCGGCACCCTTATAAAAAGGACCCTCAAACGGACCCTGATTTAGAGAACTACCCGTATCCGCCCTATCCCGCCAGCATAACATGGGCTTTTTCCGGCGGAGAGGGCCAGGGGGCAAGGAGAAAGAATCGAGGTGGGGCTCAAGCACTGCCATTGTTCGCAAGATATGCGACGGATGCCACTACCCTCATTCTGAGTACTTCGATGCTGCACTTACACAAGCGCCAGGGCCTCCTCTAAACTGCCAACTTCAAAGCACGAGCACCTTGCCTCAATAGCCGGAATGCACGGAGAATGCGCAGTGCCCGCAGGCTCTTCAAGATGTCTTGGGGCTCCAGTCCACCCAGGCCTCATGGGCTTGAGGAGTGGGGATTCGTTAGGGCTTTACGGCTTCAGGGTTTGAGGGTTTGGGGTTTTTAGTAAGGGAGTCATTACGTTTAGTTTAGCGTCGTAAGGTTTTTTAGGGCTTAAGGATTACAGTGTCTAGTATACAGATTAGACAAAACCCACCGTGGGCCATTGGGATTTGGATGCGAGCTCCTTGCAGCATAGGGCCTGAATGGTTCAGCAGCTGCGACTCAGAAAGCTCCTATGGAAATAAGACCCTAAACCCCTAAACCCTATAGATCCTAAACCCTATACTGCATGACATAAGTTTTACACTAGCACCACGGCTATCCATGTATGGGAAAGGAACACTTTGTGTCTCCAGATGCCATTGTCTTGTGGCCATGTTTGGCTCGAGGTCGTAGGCACCAGTAAACAGGGGAACGCCAGATTTGGGGTGTTGGGGGGTGCAGCAGGTACTTGAGGCTAGACTGCCCAAGCACGTAGGCTTAGATCAGGCACAATCCACAATAGACTCCCGGGACAAGCTTTCTGACTGTTTGTTCAATCGAGGACACAGTCATCTGCGTGCTGAAGATGCCTATACATGGAACGAATGCAATTGGCTCTGGATGAGCTGCAATGTCTAGTGCGTCGCACTGTGCAAACAAAAACCCAACCAAAGCTCATTCTAAGGTTTCCTATTTCATAGGGGGCCTTTGAAGGACGTTCCGTAATGGTAGTGATGGTTCAAAGACACCTTAAAGGAGTAGACCCCAAACCCCAAACCCTAAAGAAGCCAAGCTCAAAATCCCCTGATACGACCAAACGCAACTGTCGGCTCCAGGCGTCGCTCGGGGTTTGGGGGTGGCACAGTCTACCTAGACAGCCTAGACCCTAAAAAAACTACCAAATGTTTTTAGGGTTCCTTATTATTTCCTTAAATAAGTCCTTTAACCGGTAGGTTCTTTGGTGTTATAAGGTAAGGTTTAGGTTTAGGGCTTAGGGCTATATACCCTGTACCCTAAACTCCAAAAGCAACGTGCGCCTTCGGTCGGGACACCTGCGTCACGGCAAGCGACCGAGTGTAAAGGCGCAAACATCTCTTGAGTGGTTTCCTAGCAGCCTTTAGAGGTTTAGGGTTTCAGGGTTGAGGATTGCAGGGTTCAGGGCTTGGAGGTTTCAGGGTTCAGGGTCTCAGAGTTTAGGGTATAGGGGGCCATAGGGGGTCCTAGCCTAGCAACCCGTACAGAAGTCCTGTCACACATACATTGGCTTACTGGACCATGGCAAAACGGGTAACGGGGCGTCCAGTTTTCGGATACACCCTAAACCCTAAAAATGAAGCGTGGTGGTTTAGGGACAACTGGAGCTGCATGGCCTTTCTAATTCTATCCGTGCTGGAGCTCAATTCCTTTCTATATACATCTTAGGAACTGAAAGATTTCAACAAAGGGCTCCTTAAATTAGGCTTTAGGGTCTATGGCAGGATCACACCAGAGTCAAAGCCGAGGAGTCTGCTTTTCAAGGATAGCTGAAACCTTCGGGTGGTGACGCTCGGCGCTGTTGAGGGAGAAGATACCAGTAATACAAGGTAGACTAGTGACAGAGTAGCAAAATACAAAGGACAACATCACGGAGCTGGCCATTGAGCTTGTCGTCAGGCGCGGGTTTCTTTTAGTCGTAGGTGATCAAACTGAAGCATGATGGCTCTTTGAGACTACGGGGTTGGGTTCTGGCCGTCTGGCTGAACGGCTCCTTCTCTTAGACTCTGAACTCTGTCCATCTGCACAAGGTGGGGTCTTACAAAGCACCTAAAGAAAGCGTTTCCAATTCTAAGGTAATTGTCCCGATGTGGCTCCCTTGCCAGGTTCATTGTAAATTCCGAGTCACGGACCACTTTGGCCTCCAAAACCTTGACTCGCAGCAGTATTTGGGGGCTCGGATTTTGGCCCCTGCCCCGCCAGTGAAGTACTTGGGGGAAGCAGTTTCGCCGTGGTCCTGAATCCGCCGGTGCTTGGGGGAAATCATTCTCGCCGTGTCCCTAAACCGTAAGCCCTAAACCCTAAATCGCAAACCAACAATTAAAATCGTAAACCCTAAACTTAAAGGTAGACTCCTTGTGGTCTCCTGGCGGTCTCCTCGTGGCGTCCTCGTTCGTGGTCGTCCTGGCGTGCTCTCCTCGTGGTTGCAGTGGCAGTCGTGCTAGCGGTCGTGGTCGTCCTGGTCGTCGTGGTGCTCTTTCACAGTTTGCGGATTTGAGCTGTCAAAATTTATTGGTATCCTAGCACCTCTCCGCAAAAAGCAGGTAGGATTGATACTTCATGTCTTATGCGGTGGGTTGGTTCCGGACTAACAGCCCACGCTGACGGAACCTGCCAGGGCAAACTGATAGACAGCAGCGGCCACCTCAGCAGCACGCCCTACCGAGACGGTGAGCTGGAATTATTTTTTGGATACCTAGTCCAAGAAAAGATTCTGCATTCGTGGGTCTAGGTAAACCTGAAGAACACCGCAAAAAAGACAGACCCTATGCAAAGCTTCTTCTGGGTCCCTCAAAATTAGCGGTCGTGTGTATCCAGGAACCTAGTATTCACGCCTTAAAGCAGGGTTCCGTATTTCCTGCAACCCCACCAAATATCTGAAGCTAAATGCGTTCTGCCAGCCGCAACAAACTGGGTTTTGGAAAGCATCACGGACCAAAACCCTAAACGCTCATCTTGACCCTCGTTGCCCAAAGCTAAACCCCTAAGGCCACACAATCCCATGATGCAACAAAAAGAGCTCAGATCCTCAAGCGTAGCCTGGCCCCGAAATCCAAGACAGTTTGCCCTGAATTGTGAAGGCTTTACATTCGGGTTGGGCTTAGTCCGCTTGGATTTTCAGGGCTTGCTACGGGTTGGGGGGGGGGTCGTCGCGCTAAGCATTATCTTACTATCTAGGCTGTCCTTGAAACGAGGTCAAGACTCTGTAGGGCTCGGTTACTTGTAGCTTTCAACTTGGCATCCGTTTGGCTCCACATGTTCGAAGGACCAGGCAAAATCCCTCTAAACCTGCAGCATAACTTCCCCTCTGCCCAAATCCTGAGACACCTAATCCAGGAGACTAAAGTCCTGCAGTCAGACAAGGAACTCTTGTTCGTTGTCCTTCTTGAGCAGAGGCCCAAAAGCCATTCTGAAGCGCTCACCCCCAAACCCTAAACCCTAAACAATACCCCGCCCCTCCCGCCTCCCAAAATCCAACACAAACGAAAGAGCTCCTCCAAGGCCCGAGCATCCAGCGAAATCAGCACAAGGTCAAAAATGAGCCTTCAAGGGAGCTCCGCGCGTTGGGTTTTAGGATTCAGGGTTCGGGCTTACGTGAACTGCCCTTTTCAAAGAGATATGGTGCGCAGATGCTTTCACCAAAGATCCGGTCAAAGGCCCTTGGGCACCAGAGAGAACTTCCTAATTCCTTCTGGCAGCCAGGTCGTCAGGTAGTGACAAAAGATTTGCCCTCGGTCCAGCACCTGAGATCCACGTGATGTTCGAAGGCGACGAGGACCCTAAACCCTCAACCCTAAAGCCGGAGCCCCAATCATGAGGGTGCAGGGATCGGGGAGGAGACCTCCCGTCTCTTTGGGCCTAAGGGAGTCGAAACGCTTCCTCTTGAGACCATCGGTTCGGAAGCTCGCGTCGCACAACTCGCGAACTTCACTCTAGATTCTAGATCTATAGATCTCTGAACCCCCGGATCTCAGACAAAAATGAAGGAAAACAAAAGGCAAACACTATTGAAGCGTGAAGAAAGCCCAGCAAACAAGAAATGTGATTCCCTGAAGCCTCAAGAACCGAAGCCGAAGACAAGCCTAGCAAATCATGAATCTCCAAAACGGCAATGCTTGAATGAATTGACAAGCCACTTAAAGTGAACACCAGAAACGTGGAACATGGATTAGGGATGATTAATGCTGGGATCAACCTTCGGGCTTCTGCGCTAGCCCCCCTACGCCCTGGACCTCCACAACCATACAACAGTTGAAGAAGGTAACCTAAGCGAAGCTTCAATACCCGAGCCACGCCAAAAGCTCCAACTCTGAAACCTTAAGCCATCGACCGCTGTCCCTGCAGGGAAAAACAGGGGCCCTAATTTAGAGAACTACCTGCATGGNNCCCCCCCCCCCCACAAAAAAAAAGAGCTGAAAGCCCAGGGGCGAGCCGACCCTTCGAATAAAACCCGGTGTTCAGGGTCATGGCAACCTCGGGATGATGCGGTGCTGGCTAGGGAAGAATATAAGTGGCGGGCCTTAATCATCAGAATCGGGTTTCGAAGATGCTATGATTGACTTATATATACGAGGACTATGATTAACCAAGTCTTCAAAAGCGTACATTATGCTTTTTGACTAATACTTGTGGTGCCGAAGTCCAGGTCACTTCGGGGTTTAAGGCCCGCCACGAGGAAATTGGAAATGTAAAGTTGTGGGGGTTTGCTCGGGAGGTCTTGATTCAGAGGCCTTAATAGCAAGAATAAGCCTCTGGGAGGTGTATTTACTATAGACGTATTGAGGACTGTCAGGGACTAGTGTCACGCATGGATGTGTGCCTGGAAAGGTTGGGTGCATGCCTACCTAGCTGTGGGCTGAGAGGTCACTAAGTCCAGCACCTCGAAACTGTCTTTGAGGTGTAGGGCTGCATGTTTAGGGAAAAGAGAGCCTGTCCAAAGGTCGGAGCGATAAGGATGAGAATCTATGTGCTTGGGGGATGAGGGTTCCTCTCCGCAAGAGCAAAGAAGGTCGTTGCTTGCTCTCTTTCTCTTTCTCCCAAGTTTAAGTTTCCTCGCATGACATTCGCGTCTTCTGCAGAACTAGTGCGAGCAGAATGTGTCTGGATGAGTCGTTGTTCTTGCGCTCGCTGCTCTCTTCTCGAAGTACAGGCGACTGCCGCTCTCTCTAGTATAGCGGCCGTAAGTATGAGAATAGGGTTTTCGGATATATAAAATACTATACGATAATTATACCTAAGGAGCCCCCAATATAGTATTGGT